AGGGAGGGCGGTGGAGTGAGAGGCAGGTGAGGCAAAGCCCTGGGACGTTGTGGACTGTGAAGAATGTGTTAGGGAGCAAACACGGCGAGGGCATAAGCTGGATGTGCAAAAGCCAGACCAAGTCTGTGTGGCTCTGCTTTCTTGAGACCACCTGAGTGAGGGGATAATCCTGGATGGGGACTGGCAAAAAGGCTGGGTGAAGTCAGAGGCTCAGGGGCTGCAGGCATCAGCAAGGCCAGCGGCTGAGGGCTGTCCTCACTGTCCCGCCCGTTCTGTTGACACTGGCACTCTAAGAACTCCCTCAGGATCAAGTTCGTCTCTAAAGCGGGGTCACAATGGCTGCTTCACTTCCCGATTGGGTGGTAGTGGAAAATGACTGAGGAAACTAGCGTAAACTGGTCACAAAACCTCTCGGAAGCATCAGAAACAAGGCCCGCGCCGCCAGCTGGCTGCTGTCGGTGGACAAGCTCAGGAAGGGCGACATTCTGAGCAGCAGTCAAAACGTGTGTGAGCAGCAGGCCTGGCTTCCGAACCAGACGGTGCAGGCTGAACCCCTGGACAGAATCAGAAGGCTCTTGGAAGACCAGCTTTTTTTCCAGTTCAGAGATCCAAAGCGGAAATTAATTGCACATCAAACTCTTGGAGATGTCCATTTCCATGGCCTGGTGCTTTGCGGGGCAGGTGGCAAACATGTATCTGAGCCCCTGCCCAAGCCCACATCAGGAGCCACCCCTGGTCCCATCCCGACCTGTCTGCCTGTCTGCCATTGCCCAAGGTTTCCCAACCCAGAACGCTCTCTCCCTGTCCCACCTGGGAAAGCCCTGCTCTCCCATCAAAGTCCTACTCAAAATACACTTTTCCTATTAAACCCACTTGCAAATGCCCAGCAGCCTTGCCACAGTGCTTGGTTCTGTGAGAAATGCCTGCAGCCTTTATCCTTTATCTCGCTGACAGGGGCAATGGCCTTGAGTGTGTCCATCCTGTCCACCAGTCTGAGGGGAGCTGGCCTGACACATCACACTAAAAGGAACAAAATGGTGAATTGATTGGATCAAAACCTGAGACCCAGAGGAGGGTGCGCCACACTGGGTCCCTGGGGCCCATGTTGGGGGGCACCACCCAGATCACACTGAGGCAAGGACTGATTTCCTGGCTGCTCAAGTGCTGCAGGAAGGCCTGAGACTTTGGGTCCCCTGGACTCAGAGCTGGCAGAAGGGGCCCTGTGGAGGGTCAGCACTTTCCCCACTCAGAAACCCACAGAGGCTTCTCTTTTGCAGGATAGCAGGTACCCCTCAGGCTCTGCCCATCGCATTTCTGGCTGGCCACAAAGCAGGGCCAAGTTACCATGTAGCCTGGCCACAGGTATGCAGAGCTCTATAAGGCAACAAAGAAACAGGGCCCAGGAGGACCCACGGCACCTACCCACACTTGGGGGCTTGGCTTCTAAAAGTGCTGGGTTAGAGAGAAACAAGATGGCAATGTAGGTAAATGCTGGTACTTGCCGATTCCCACAACCACATCAAAATTACAGCTAAAATGCAGAACAACCATCATTCAGAACTGCCTGAAAGCTGGCTAAATGGAAGTCCTAAAACTAGAGAAGTAAAGAAGAAAGTACATTGAGACTAGTAGGAGGGGCAGAGGGGCAAAGGAGAGGAACAGGTTGGTTCGACACCCACATGTGCCATTTTTTTAATCAGGAGAGATATCTCCAAGACCTCCCATGAGAAGCAAGGGAGTCCCAGCTCCATACCAGACCCCTAGCCCAGGGTACCAGAGCTTGGAAGAGAAGTCCCTGTAACTTCAGGTTGTAAAAACCAGCGGGGATTATGGCTGAATGGCATGGAGGCTGTTGGAATCCCAGGTGTTCCTCTTAAAGGGCCCACACACAAACATACAAGGTTCCACTTCCTCTGAGCTCCAGCACCGGGTGGTAGCTTTGGGGGAATCCAAGAATATATGGGAAGGAACTGGACTCTCTGGCATCAGGGCAAAAATTCAGGGGCAGCTTTCTCTAAGACAGGGGTGCTCACAGGGGTCATTGTTCCTGTGCTGGGACCTCCACTACCACAGAGCTAACTGGAAGCCATATCTGAGTTTCCATCAGCATGGCCCACACTATTTGCTCCACCCTGATGATTCCCTGAGACTCTGTCCCATTCAACTTGTAGCCCTACCCAAGCTCTTTGCAACTGCTATTCCATATGAATGGCCTGTCCTGGTTCAGGTTTCAGACTTTGCTAAAAGTCTCTTAAACAAGCAGCAGCTGGAGTCAGTGTGCCCCAAACCTATCAATAAAAGGCCCAAGACCCAGCACTAGCACCAGCCTGCCTTACTCACAGCTGGTCTTCACCTGGGCACTTCCTAGTCATATACAAGTAGCAGCCATCTACAGATCTCTCTGTAGCTCCTGCCAGGTGGCCCCAGGCACTGGCAGACTTTGCACCTCCTGGGACACACCAGAGCCAGTGCACCTGGTGGACAGCTTCAGACCACACCATATTACAAATCTACACATCCACAAGTGACACATCCAGGGGCAGACTCAGTGAGCACCAAAGCCCCACTGAAGCAAATCCTGCTGCATAAGGATGTCTCCTGTATATCAGCTCTTCCATTATAGTTGCAGCTGGTCCTCTCAGCCAGTTGGCCTGGAGGTCAAGTCCTCCCAGTGACACCAACAGCAATCAAGACTCAACTACAACAAAACTGTGCACACAGCCCACAAAGGGGTGCACCTAGAGTGCCCAGCTAAGATGACTGGAGAGGCTGAGCCACTGGGCCCTACAGGACACCTACTACACAAGGCCACTCTACCAATTCCAGGAGACATAGCAGCTCTACGTAATATATAGAACAAATACAGGGAAACAGACAAAATGTGGAGACAAAGAAACATGTCACAAATGAAAGAACAGAAGAAATCTCCAGAAAAATAATTAAATGAACTGGAAGCAAACAAACTACTAGATACAGAGTTCAAAATAATGGTTATAAGAATGCTCAAAGATGTTAATGATAACTTCAAAGGACTTAGTGAGAATTTCAATGATCTTAGTGAGAATTTCAAGAAAATTAGTGAGAACATAGAAGATGTGAAAAGGGACCAGTCAGAAATAAAGGAAACGCTAACAGAAATGAAGAATAATTTGCAAGGAATCAACAGTAGAGTAGAGGATGCCAAGAACCAAATCAATGATTTGGAATATGAGGAAACAAAAACCACTCAACCAGAAGAGAAAAAATCCAAAAATATGCAGATAGTGTATGGAGCCTCTGGGACAACTTCAAATGTACCAGCACTCACATTATGGGGAAGGAGAGAGCAAGATATTGAAAACCTATTTGAAGAAATAATGACAGAAAACTTCCCTTACCTGGTGAAAGAAATAGACTTAGAAGTCCAGGAAGTGCAGAGAGTCTCAAACAAAATGAACCCAAAGAGGCCCACACCAAATACATCATAATTAAAATGCCAAGGGTTAAAGACAAAGAGAGAATCTTAAAAGCAGTAAGAGAAAAGCAGTTAGTTACCTATAAGGGAGTGCCCATATATCTATCAGCTGATTTCTCATTAGAAATTTTTCAGGCCAGAATGGAATGACAATAAATACTCAAAGTGATGAATATCAAGGACCTACAACCAAAATTACTCTACCCAACAAAGCTATCATTTACAACTGAAGGTCAGATAAAGAGCTTCACAGATAAGAAAAAGCTAAAGGAGTTCGGCACCACCAAACTAGTATTACATGAAATGTTGAAGAGTATTCTTTAAGAAGAGGAGGAAGAAGAAAAAGAGATAAATAATATGAACAATAAAATGGCAATAAATACATATCTATCAACAATTGAATTTAAAAATCAAAATAAACGAACAAGAACTCTAATGAGTAAAATAAACTGATGAATAAAATAGAATCAGAGGCATGGAAACATGGAACACACTGATGAATCTCAGAGGGAAGCGGCGGGGGGGGGGGCGGGGAAGGAGATTAACCAAAGGTCTTATATGCATAACCTATGGACATAGACAATAGGGTGGTGAAGGCCTGGGGTGGGGCAGGAACTGGGTGGAGGGGGGCAAAGGGGGGGATAAAGGAGGGCCACCTGAAATACTCTCAACAATAAAGATTTTAAAAAACAAAAATAAAAGTGCTGGGTTAAGGGGCTGTGGGTGACCTGCTGATAAAAGAGTCAGGATTGAACATCCAGCAAGATCCCACGACAAGCTAGAAACATACAGGACAGGGAGCCACAGGGTAGAATTAAAAGCAGCCCCATCATCCTCCCAGAGACCTCTGGTGAGCATGGGCTTCTCACTTCTGCAAAGCTGGGCTCTGCAAGGTAAGGGGTCCTGGTTCCAAAGGGACACAGTGAGAGTGCCCCTGAGGTCCAAGCCATGGCAGCCATCTGAGGGGATCCTGGGGCAGGGTCAGCAGGTGAGAAGTCACCATCTTGACCTGCTCACCAGGAGATGTGGGGTAGGGTGGAGTGACTCAGTGGGCCCCTCTAATGGTTGCTTGTGCAGTTTTGATGGCAAATAGCAATTAAGGGTGCAGCATCCTGGGCCAGTAAGGGCATGGTGACCAGGAGTTTGAAGCTCTCGAGGATGAAGGTTTAGGTCTGGCCACCAAGTCAGCCACTGGCCCAGCAGAGCTGCTGGCCAAACATGAAGGGTCTGGAGAGGAAAGAGAAGGAAGCACATTAATCCATTTCAGTTGGGGCCCTGAGACCAGCAACAGTGGTGGGGCTGTAATTTGCCCACTCACCTTCCTCTTCTAAGTTTCCTGCAGGACAGGGTTGCCAGGTAAAATATAGGATGCCCAGTAAAAATTGATTTCAAATAAGCAATTATTAGTTTCTTTAGTGTAAGCATGTCTGTAATATTACATGGAACATAACCACACTAAAAGAAATGTACTCATTGTTTATCTGTAATTCAAACCTAACTGAGAACTCTATATTTTTATTTTCTGAACCTGACAACCTTACTTCAGGAAGAGAAACCACTGGCAGCCTGGAGTGATCCCAAGACCTAAAAGAGGAAGTGGATCAAAATAGAGGAGTGGACTTGGATGATGCTGTCATGCACTGTGTGCGAGAGCACCCTCCCCCGCCCCCCAGCTCTGGGGCTGTCCTGGGAGATGGTGCTCAGCAGGCAGCCCTGTTGGGAGGTGGCTCCAGCTGAAGAAAACCACCTTGCCAATCCATGCCGCCTTCCGAGGGCTGCCTGCACCTGTGAGGTGTGGCCCCATCTTTTCACCCCAGTGCGGAGCAGCTTCTTCCCACTCCAGAGCTCTATGCAGGCTGACTGCGGCCTTTCTGGTAGGACATTGCATCTCAGCTTCTCTTCCTGCCCAATCCTGCTTCCTTCCCCTGACTCCAGTATTTGGCCTGAGAGTACTCCCTAACAAACACCCCGCTTAGAGGCTGGGGGAGGAGAACATCACATCATAGCCCTGTACCCAAAAGCATGTCCTCAGAGGCAAGACGCATTTGTTTTCAGAGCTCATTGCTTTGAGGCACTCAGCATTTTTAGATGCTATGGTTCAAAAATGATCAAGAAACAGTTTTGTGTTTCTGCATGTAAGGAAGCAAAGGAACAGTATCTCAAAGGAACCACATCACCTACTTACCATCAACCTGGATGTTGGAATGTCATCCCAAACATCCCTGTTTACTTCCCTATAAACCTGTCCTCCTCCAGATTTCACCATTTAGAGTCTTGGTTATACCATTTCCCTAACCTCTGAGCTTAGAAACTCTCCAGTGATCTTCGACTCCCACTCAATGCACCCTATCCACCCCTGCCCTTTGTACACTCTTCCTTCCATCCTCCAATTATTCCTCCATCCACCCCTTTCCCTGCCTTTTACCTGAGTCCTCCTAGGACTCTTGGCCTTTCTTTTCTATTTTTTTTTTAAATTTTTAGTTTTTAATTGATTTTTAGGGGGGGGGGAAGAACGCATCAATGTGGAAGCGAAACATGAATTGGCCGCCTCCTACACGCCCCCTACTGGGGATCAAGCACTCAACCTGGGCATGTGCCCTGACCAGGAATCAAATCAGCAACCTTTCTGTGCACAGGATGACGCCTAAGCACCTGAGCCACAGCAGTCAGGACTCTTGGCCTTTCTTTTCTCTCCTACTTCCATACACTACAGCCAGGCAACTCATCCTTTGGTACAATTCTTACCTTGTAACAGGGGAATATGAGTCACGGTGATAGAAAGCTTAAAAAACCAGCACATGATTTGCCCTGTATCCTTTCTCTGTGCCCTGGGACCAGGAACATTCTAGATAGATGCTGCTTTGCCAGCCTGCATGCTCAGAGTGGTGATGACCAGCAGTGAATGACTCATGCAAACAAGAAGGAGCTCTGTGTGACTGGAAGCCCCTGAGGTTTGGAGCACTGTGAAAGTTCGCTGCTAGTAACTGTCCTGCTGGTAGCCTTTCCTGAAGGTACACTGGACCACCCAGAGTGCCCCGAGTCTCAGAAGTAATGTTCACATGTGACAAGTGATGCTGTGCTGTTTTACAGTGTTCAACTGGAAGGACAGTTCATGAACTTTGGAATAACCCAGCACTGTGCACTGCTACCCAGGGGAGGAGTCAGACAAAGCTATCTGCTTTTCACCTACTGCTTCAATTTTCAGAAAATTGCCCAAAGTTATTGCAAACTGTTTGCATTTTTGTTGGCTTGGCAAAGGGAGTTGGCAGTATCCAATAATCCCTTGTTTAAAGCCACGTCACTATTTATGCAGAGAACACAAATGTTACAAGGAGACTTCTTAGAATGCTGGCAAGAAGAGGAGGCCAAACGGGAACAGTTGTTTGTAAACAAAGGGATAGGAGACCACATTGCCTCAGTGTCTGACTTTGGGACTTTTTATTACATAATTGATTAAAATGACAAGTCCCATGTCCTGTAAGCTTGGAGTGGGTTTTACTCTCTGCCTTTCAGGAAGAAGCCATGCATTTAGCTCTGCACCCCAGACAGAGTTCTTGAACTAGTCCTGAGCAGTCTCGCTGGGAGCGCCTCCTGCTGCAGCTCTGCAAAGTCTTTCACTGAAGAAACTCAGAACATGATGAAAGTTAAGTCAGAAAAGTGTGTGCAGCTCTGCAAACAAAAAGGAAAAATCCAGGTTTATGTGCCCTGTTGCTAATACCAAAGAATTTGTCACTTTACAAAGAAAGTTGAACTCAATTCCTTTAAAGTTGGGGTGTAGTGTGAGCATTCAACATGCAATTTCATTCCCAGAGTATTCCATCTTAACTCCTCACCCGTATAAGCAGCTTACAAGGTTAGATTTTTTAAATAGGGTTAAATATTCAAGTGCAGTGGTGGGGAAGCAGCACCCATTTCCTCCAATTTCTTTATGACCACAGCTTCATGAGTTCAGTGGCTTTTTAAAAAATGCAACTTTTCTTACTCTGAATTTACCATAACCAAAAAGGCCACTGGGCAGCCACTGATGGTTCTAAGTCAGAGCAGAAAGAAGGAAACAATTACTTAGGGTCAGAAGAACGTTCAGTGGTTACCTGGGCCAACCTCACTTTGCAGACAAGATGACGGAGGCCATCTCAGCAGAGTGAGGGGAATGAAATGCCACTTCCAGACCACAGGCCTGCACTCAGATGCTGATTCTGAAATACGAAAGAAACAGGCGGCCAAATGCCTGTGGACTGAGAGAAACACAGGTGGGCAGAATGTGTCCTTGGACAAGATATTGGGACCCCAGTAGATCTCTTTGATCTCTTTCCTTATCTGCATGGTCAGCTGAATATTGCCTGCCCTGTCCACCAACAGTTTTGGTTGGGAGATCGGATGAGAAATGCCTATGAAGCTTCCCTAAATGTTGAATCACGTCATAATGATAATAAGCCTGGATTATTGAACACTTAGCACATTCCAGGCATGTGCTAAGCATCATTTCATTATCACAGCACATTAGGAGGCAAAAAAGACATGACCTTCATTGTAAGGGGAAGGTAAGACTTTGGTTAAGTGGTCCATCCATGATCTTACAGCTGTGAACCAGGTCTAGCTGACCCTCATACTTGAGCATTTAATTTTCAATAATACTATACCAATATTATCAATAATACTATATAACTAATCCTATCTAATAAAAGAGAAAGATGGTAATTAGCATACGACCGCTACCCTTTCCATTGGCTAATCAGGGAGATATGCAAATTAACTGCCAGCAAAGATGGCGGCCGGAAGCCAGGCAGCTGATTCGAACAGGAGGTTTGCTTGCTTCAGTGACAGAGGACTCCAACGTTCCCCGCCTGACTTGCCAGCCTCTCAGCTATAACTTTAAGCAACTATGTTGCAAATATAGAAGCTAAAAAAACCCCAGAAACCTGCTTTACTCAGCTGGGCTTCAGCCAGCCGGACCGCAACATTGTATCAAATACAGACAGTAAACAAAGGCCAGAAATCTGTTTTCAGCAGCCGAGGCCTCAGAGCTAAAGCTGGCCCAGAATTAAAAACAAAAAAAACAAAACAAAAAAAAAAGGAGCGGTTGGGAGCTTCAGTCACCCGTCAGCCTGAAAACGGCCCTCAGCCCCTCAGCCAGACTGGCCAGGCACCCCAGTGGGGACTCCCACCCTGATCCAGGACACCCTTCAGGGCAAACCAGCCAGTCCCCACCCATGCACCAGGCCTCTATCCTATATAGTAAAAGAGTAATATGCCTCCCAGCACCGGGATCAGCAGAGCCGAGAGGCCTCCCGGCACCAGGATCAGCGTGACAGGGGCAGCTCCCAAACCCCCTGGTCGCCCTGCGGCTCTGTGTGTGACAGGGGGCGGGGCCACAACCTCCCTATCGGCCCTGCTCTGTTCCTGACAGGGGAAGGCACCCCAACCCCCTGATCATCCCTGCTCTGTGCCTGATAGGGGTGAGCTCCCCAACCCCTTGATCACCCTGCAGCTGTGTGACAGGGGCGGTGACCCAACTCCCCTATCAGCCCTACTCTGTGAGTGACAGGGGGGAGATCCCCAAACCCCTGATGGGCCCTGCTCTGTGCGTGACAGGGGGCAGCGCCCCAACCCCCTGATTGGCCCTGCTCTGTGCATGACGGGGTGGTGCCGCAACCTCCCCATCGACCCTGCCTTGAGTGTGACAGGGGGCGGTGCCCCAACCCCCAAATCGGCCCTACCCTGAGCATGACTGAGGGTGGCATTGCAACCTCCCAATCCGCCCTGCTCTGTGCATGACAGGGGGTGGCGCCCCATCTCCCCAATCGGCCCTGCTCTGAGCCTGATCAGGGACTGCACCTAGGGATTGGGCCTGCCCTCTGCCACCCAGAAGCAGGCCTAAGCCAGCAGGTCATTATCTCCCGAGGGGTCCCAGACTGCGAGAGGGTACAGGCCAGGCTGAGGGACCCCCCCCTCCCCCTCAAGTGGACAAATTTTTGTGCACCAGGCCTCTAGTTATATAATAATATAATACCATATAGTTTGTACTACTATAGCACACTAGTACTTATTATACAGGTACTATGTTACTATAGTATAGTAATATGTTGTATAATACATAGTACATGTTACAATTCACATAATAATATCCTATATAATAAAAGGCTAATATGCAAATCAACCAATCACTATGACACGCACTGACCACCAGAGGGCAGACACTCAACGCAAGATCTGCCCCCTGGTGGTAGTGCACTCCCACAGGGGGAGTGCGGCTCAGCCAGAAGTCCAGAAGCCAGGCTCACAGCTGGCAAGTGCATCAGCAATGGCAGGGGGCCTCTCCCGCCTCTGCAGCAGTGCTTAGGGTGTCTGATTGACTGCAGATGGACATCCCCCGAGGGCTCCTGGACTGCAAGAGGGCACAGGCCAGGCTGAGGGCCCTCCCCGCCCCCATGCCACCCCCCAAGTGCAAGAATCTCGTGCACCAGGCTTCTAGTAATAATATAAGAATGGTATAGTAATTCCACCACAGGAGATGCCAGGGTCAGTGGTAATAATTGACATTGCATAGATATATAGCCAAAGAGCACTATGTTATGATCAGAATTTCCTTTGAACAAACCCTGTTGTTTATTTAAAGAGATATTTATATTATATGAACTACATCATAACAACAAAACATTTTTAGCATTTTCCTAATTTTTTTTTACAAGTACTTGAAACAAGGATTAGCCTGTAATCTTTTTCAAGGATATAGTCACATTGATTTTTAACAAATTGTAGTCTCCCTGTCCTTTTAAAGAATGAATTAGTGAGAAAATAGTTTACCCCAAGTAAAGTTTTATAATTTATTTTTTGTATCTAGTATGGGTTTTTCTAAAATATTTTTCTTGCATGCTAATGTATAATTTTAAAAGATTAACTCTTAAAATATGAATTAAGTAAATTCAGCTTACAGTCTCTATGGTAAACATGATTTGAAATGCAAATACTCCATAAATATTGGGCCCCATCTGCAACAGCAGTTCAACATCTGGATAATTCACTGAAATAAGCAATCTCCTCACAGAATACGATCAGTCTGTTTCAGGTAGATATTCAGTTAACTGCCTTCCTATTTGTTTTCACTTTTTAACTAGTTGTGATATTTGAAGATAAATGTCTAGTCTTTTACTGAAGAAAACTTTGATTTTCTCAAGTGTATAGAGACGGGGTCAACTTTTACTGGTAAAAATGTTTGTCACTTTTGTTTTAATTATGAGTAGATAGAGAAGTCTTTGGTGAGCACGGGCAGTGAGTCCCTATTCGCTCCATCCAGGTCCCCAGTGATAAGGAGGACATCAGAAGCTTTAGTGATTGAAATATAATATTGTTTGTACTCACATCACCATTAAAAAAATCACCTATAGTAGGTCAATATGACAAAGAAGGAAACCAGAAGATGGCGTTGAAGATTAGCAATCACAAGAGGTAGACTGGTAAGGTCTCAGAAAGTTTTATACAGTGTCTGTTGTTTTGAACTTGTAAAAGTGGATGGATGGAAAAGTGCTGAAACTAACTAAACCCAAGCAGAGTGCACATGCATGAAAGTGTGAAAGCTCTAGTTTACCATTTTTGTTCTCAGCCATCTCCTTCTGTCTGTTGCTTGTGAGCACTTTGGGGTGGAAAAAAAACAGTTCACTGACTACAGTGTAAGGCAGCATGATGGCAGCCTTCTTCGCCTTGTTTACTAAAATATCCCAAGTTCCTGGAATAGTTCCTCACAAGTAGTAGGTGCTCAAAACATATTTGTTGAATGAATGAATCTGTGGCAGGATGAGAAGGAAGAGCATGTTATGACCAGAATTTCCTTTGAGCAAACCCTGTTGTTTATTACAGAGACTCTGATCATGGAAAATTTACTTGGGTGAATAAAATATGTCATCCTGTTAATTTCTGAGAAAGTTCATTAGTGTTAGGAAAAGTGTGCCTAATCTATGTCTGACTGCCTATTTTATTCTAGACTAGACTTAGTGTTTTCTTTGGGTAGGAGACATTGACCCATCTTAGGAGATTAAAAGAAAAACTGAGAAGTAAGTGAAATCAAAAGCTTTCAAAAGTTGCCAGTTGACCTGGGGTGATGGTGGTCTAAAATCATATAGAAACTGGTGATCTGACGGTTTACCTGAAATTGTTAAGTAAATAAACATGATCAGAGTATCAAAAATGCTGTGGTGAAAGTTTAGTGGACAGGTGTTCAGGCAATTAATTTTGATATTAAGAACATCTTGGAAAATTAAGTAAAATTATTCCTATTCTGGACATTTATACTCCACTACTAAGTTGCTTTCTACCAGGTTGAGGTTAAAACTATGTCATTTTTCAAATTTATTTATTTATTTGAGAGAGAGATTTGTTGTTCCACCTATTTATGCATTCATTGTAGATTCTTGTATGTGCCAGGATGGGGGATGGAACCTGCAACCTTAGGGATGACACTCGAACCAACTGAGCAAAGACCTGAAGTCCAGAAGCAAATAAACACTTGGATACTTCAAGATCCCTCTCTCAACTCTCATGCAGCCATAATTAAAACTTTGGGGGCTATGCATTGTCTATCATTTCAAACATGCAGACTGTATTTGAACCACAGTTTATAGCTCAGGGGATCTGGGCCGGTTCCCTTTTTTCTTTTTAATGAGTACGCCTGTCTCTAAACACCGCAGAGGGGCAGAGTTCTCAAATACAGTGCCAGGGCCAAGGATGCCCCCACCCACCCACAGTTCTTCATCGCGGACAATTCCTCCGTCTTTGGTTACTCTGCAAGTGAAGTCCCCTTCGCACCAAATTCCCGCTACTACACGCCCCCCCCCCCCCCCCCCCACTTCCCGCCCTAACCGCACTGCTGTTGTTTAGCTGTTATTAGTTATCAACTAGCCTCCTGCAGGTCCTGGAGTGAGGCGAGGTCCCATTTCGCGTCTTGCCCTTCGCAGGAAACCACCGCCAGTGAGGGTCCTCAAGGCGCGCGCTCCGACTTGGCCTGCGCGGCGCGGGGCGGGATCCGAGGGCGCTGGAGTCCCCAGCAGGGTCGCCGCCGTCCCTCGCTCGCGGGCTCCCGGATCCCTCCAAGCCCTGCTCTCGGCTCGCAGCGCCCCCTCCCCGCCCCGGCGGGAGCAGTCGGCCTCGCCCCGCCCAGGCTCCGCCCCCAGCGCGGCTTTTAAGCTCTTAAAGTTCCTCTTTCGCACCTCGGAGTCTTAGTTTCACCACTTGAACTTGGAACCCACTGCTGCCCTCGGCTCCGAATCCAGGGCAAGGTAAGACCTGGGGTCGGGCAGGAGCACTAATGTGAGGCTGGCGGGACAGAGAACCTGGAGGGAGAGGCCAGAGCTCCCGGGGACCGTCCCGAGGACAGCGCCGGGGACCCCAGCTTCTGAGCCGGGAGAAAGCACGCTCCCCTTGAGGGAGTCCGATGCCCACCCGTGTGTTCCGTGTGTTCCGGTTTTGTGCGGGCTCTGAGGAGGGACCCCGGCCACTGCCCGAGCATCTCTGCTGGCTCTCCCTGCTCCCGTGTCCCCACTATTCTGTGGGTCCGCCCAGCGCGGGCCGGGGCGAGGTGCTGGCACGCGCTGGACCAGATGGGAGAGACTCTCAGGGCCTCAGGGGCGGTCGAGACGGGGCCGTCGAAGGCACTCGCACAGGGCAGCAGGCTTTCCTGCGGGGGACAGCCCCATCCTTCTGAGGCTCGTTCTGCTCGTTTGTTCGTAAGGGACCCTAACTCACCGCGACCTCCGGCGCGTGTTTCCCTGGCTGGTGGTGAAGGAGGAGGAGCTCCAAATTTGGGCACCGGGGCCTGCGCTGGGTTGCCTCAACCCGGCCCTCCTCGGCCTCTCGCCCTCCCTTGCACCCTCCCCACCTCCACCTCCGCCAGCCTCCAGGGCCGGGCTGACACTTCCCGCGCGCCCAGGGTGTCTCCCGCTACTTGGCTGCGCTCCTCGCCAAGGGCCCATTTGATCCTTACTCTCCAGCGAGGGCTCAGGGGCATTTGGGACAAAGAGCATGGGCGCGGGAGAAGGAAGGCCAGGGGACGCTGCTTGGTGCTGAGCATCTGGGACGCCCGGCAGCAGGCTGGCCTTGGTGCGCCACCCAGGGAGTGTGAAACCGGGAATGGGCAGGAGTGGAAACTGACAGTGAGGGGGAATGGGCTGATACTAGCTTCGGGATGGGCAAAGAGGAGCGGGAACCGTCAGTGAGCGTGCCAACGGAGCGCCAAGAAGCGTGGCGGCTGGGTCTGGGAGTGTGAGCAAAGGCTGGAGTGTGTGTATGGGCTGTGGGGTGCGAAACAAGAATGGAGAGTCTAAGGTGGAGTAGGAAGACAGACTCCGCGGAGGGTGCGCTCGGGAGGAGGCAGGCTTGTGCTGGCCAAGGGGACCAGCCCCGGCAGCTGAGAAGGTGTCTTCTCTCTGGGACCTGTGATGACACCGACCTCATAGCGCGCATCTTGCTGCCCCGGAGCCCCTGGGCCTCGTGGTCACTGCCATGGTGGTTTGGGATCTGTGCTCTGAGCGCTGTGCCGCGGTGCTTCAGGGAGGCTCTCCTCTCACCTGCAGCGCGGAGAGTGCAGGAGGCAGATCCTGGGCGCAAGAGCAGGACCGTCGGCGCGCTGGGCTCAATGAACCTGGAGGGCGGTGGCAGCCGAGGCGGAGAGTTCGGCATGAGCTCTGTGAGCTGTGGCAACGGGAAACTCCGCCAGTGGCTGATCGACCAGATCGACAGCGGCAAGTACCCGGGGCTGGTGTGGGAGAACGAGGAGAAGAGCATCTTCCGCATCCCCTGGAAGCACGCGGGCAAGCAGGACTACAACCGCGAGGAGGACGCCGCCCTCTTCAAGGTTACACGCACGTGGGGAGCCCGCGGTCGGGATGGGGGGAGGGCCCCAGAGAGCCGACGGGTCCCGAGCCCGGGCTCCTCGGTGAGCCCAGCCCCTGCGGGGTGCGCCCTGGCCCGCGGTTCAAAGAGGGAAGGGTAACCCACCGGGACCCACGAGATGGGGTGGTCGCAGCAGGGCGGGCGGCCCGGGAGCAACAGGTGTGGATGGGCCGAAGCCTCGGGAGAAGAGAAGTTTCAACTTCTCTAGTGTTTTCACACACGGGAGGGCCGGTTTGATTCTGAGCGTGTGGCTTGAGCAGCAAGCACTCAGGGAGTCAGAAGGCTCCAGCGGCAGGGAAGTACCGGAGGCTCAGTCAGGGGACGCCTGCCTTCCCAGGACAGTAGCTGGAGTGTTCTTGGCTGAATTTTTGTGGGTTTCTCTGTTTCCATCGGAGACGCTTCTCTACTCCTGGGTCTTTCCTTGCCTCCTCTAATCAACTTGTGCTTCTCTCTGTCTCTCTGTCTTTGTGAGCGCCCGTGGGTGTGCTGGTCACTGCCCCCCCCCCCCCCCCGCCCCAACCCCCCAGGAACTGTTTACATGTTTCACTATGTTTTGGCTATTTGTCTCTCTCCGATTTTTTTTTTTCTTTGATTCAATCCCTCTCTGGCACCGACACTCTCTGGTTCCGTCTCTCTTTGGGCCCCTCCATCCCTATTTCTCCCTCTCTATTTCTCTGCCTGTTTGCCAGACTCCCTCTTTCCAAGTCTCAGTCTCTCTCTCTCTCTCTCTCTCTCTCTCTCTCTCTCTCTCTCTCTCTCTCTCTCTCTCCTCAATTGTTCTCTAGGTTTCTGTCTTTCTGTCTCTGCCTCTTCTCTCCCCACCCTCTTGGGTTCTCTCTTTCTCTTTCTCCTCCTCTAAATATTTCTCTTCTTCCAGGATCTTTGTTTTGGGCCCCTCTCTGGGTCTCCCTCTTGCTGCTATGTGCATGTGGGCCCCTGTCAGGATTGTTTTCTCCTGGAGCAGTTACCCAGTGAGCTTTGCCTTAGGGCCCAGCCCCACCACCTGTGGGCTGCACAGGTAAAGGGGACTTCCTCAGGGAATTTGCTCTCAGAATACCTCAAACTGGCTGACAGCTCACCACACAGCTCTGTCCCTAGTTCCAATCAAACCCACTTCGGAAACTGGGTGAGCAGGTCCTTTTCCAGGGATCCTCCACATCTTACCCACCTGTCACAAATACTTAGAGAATGTTCCCACCACTTGTCTTCAAATTCCTTTGGAATTGCAATTTCCATTCTTTTTAAAAAGACCTTGTATTTTAACTTTTCCCCTCTTCTTTCCCACCAGGCTTGGGCGCTATTTAAAGGAAAATTCCGAGAAGGCATTGACAAGCCAGACCCTCCCACGTGGAAGACACGTTTACGGTGTGCTTTGAACAAGAGCAATGACTTTGAGGAACTGGTTGAGAGGAGCCAGCTGGACATCTCAGACCCCTACAAAGTATACAGGATTGTTCCTGAGGGAGCCAAAAAAGGTGGGACTTCCTCGATCTGCATCACAGGATATTGGCAGTCTGACACTTGTAGCATCTTAAGTTCATTCTGAAGCTCACTTTTCTATTTTTGTTTTCAATAGCTTGCCGGCCATCTGCCCCATGGTCAAGCCCAGCAGGTTCATTGTCTGAGTTCTCTGGGTCACTAATTGCAAGTCCTGCGGTTTTAGTGCAGGATACTCTCTCACACTCCACGCCTACAACTGCGTGTGTGCATGTGTGTATTTTCCAGTTAGGTCTATTAAGTTATGGGCTAAATTTCCAAACAAGAAAATGGAGAACTTGTTCAAAGCTGTACTTATTAATTTTTCATGATTAACCTTTCACAGAAGGAAGCATTCATACATTCATATATTGCTACTATTTATATCAATAAAAATGTCAACTTTTAGGATACACTATGGTCAGCTGGGCTGCTTATTCAAATTCAGACTCCCTCTTTCCAACCTTCTGACAGTGTGTCAGAGTAGAGCCCAGGAGTCTGCATTGTAACACACCATACAGGTGACCTTTTTGCAGCACATTTTCCTGGTGGGGCCCTTTCTGTCACCAGTTGCCTTCACACACAGCAGGACCTTGTAGAAATCAGTTTAATGGAATGGTCAAACAATGGCCCAAGGGAATTGCTGGAAAATGTCTAATTTGTCAACAGTCTAATTAGTCAAATGTCTAATTTGTGCATTCTAGGAATTAAATCCTCAGATATCTTTTCTAAGATTTGATGTTTAGTTATGTCAGTTCCCTTTTTTTTTTTACGTTGTGCCATTTCCCCTTTGCAAAAACATACAGGAGCAAAGCAGCTCACCCTAGAGGACCCACAGATGACCATGAGCCACCCCTATACCATGCCGACTCCTTATACCTCACTCCCAGCGCAGGTACCGTGGAGGTGCAGGGCTCTGGAAGGGAAGGCTGGGGAGAACACACAGAAAAAACATCATAAGCTTGTTTCTGTTATCAGTCAAACAGCTAAACAAAATCCCTGGACATTGAATGAATGCCTCACTTTCTACAGTGAGCTCTCGGGGTTGGTTGGAAGGAGGGGAGGGCTGCATGTGTCTGCCTATTGGTGTAGACTTCCACTACCGATTCTGAAACCTTCTTGGAAACAGACCTATTGTGGAAGTTGATGGTTTTGGAAGTAGTACTTTATATCATGTGAAACCGCGGGGCAGCTGATCTCTTTAGACATTTCTGATGTGAATTACAGCTTTGTGGTCTTCACTTTGGTGGGGAAGAGAAGGCAAATTTCCTTACGGGACTTTTGGCACCAGGTTTAACCATATTATAGAGCTTTACATATGTCATTACTTAACATCACTGTCTCCATTATGCTTTCTTGATTCTTTATGGATAGTTTTCGCCTAGTGCAGTGATTCTCAACCTGTGGGTCGCGACCCCTTTGGTGGTCGAACCACCCTTTCACAGG